TAAATAATCAAAACTACTAGCATTTTCTTATAATATAATTCACATTTTGGACATTTTTAAAATTGTATTAGCGTTTCAAATGAAGGATTATGGATTATTATAGGTCGGTTGTCTATCCTCTGTCATAGCCCCACGTTGGGCGCCAAGACGCGGATTTTGATAGGTCATTGGCTCATTTGGCAACATAGGCCCACGTTGGGCGCCATGTCGCGGATTTATGTAGATCTGACTAGCTTGCGGTGGGGTTGAACTACTTTCATCCCTCCTCGGCATATTGAGGATCGTAAACTTTCCTAATGGGTCCGGAAAGAACGTACCTGTCTGTGACCGCTTTCACCTATGGTGGTAGGACGTTAGTCGCCCACTCGCAGATGAGGGGGATCCCAAATATCTCGTGCGCTTCCCCTTTAACTTTAGCCACTGGGGACGTCGGGGAGAGACGCGGAGATTTGCGTTCTTCCGCCATTGTGAGTTCTAGTTTTGTTTCATGAAGATGGTCTACGCTGATTTGTTTTTCTTTGATCTAAGGCGCACTTTGAACACTGGCACTTGATTTTATTAATAGTTTGTATTACTTTAAATATTTTTTGTAACGGGTTTTCAACTGAACCCTGTATATAAGTGGTGAGTCTGCCACCCTAGTGACTGAAATCAGTCTTTGCACTGGCTAGAAGCACTATAGTGTACGGCCTCCTTAATGTGTCGGTACGTTAAGTTTTAGGACCTTGTAAACATTGCACCCTGAAAGCTTTGTATGTTGCGCTCGTGTTCGTAATTTTTAGAGTTATAACTCGAAATGCGATTTAAAAATTTATGAGCTTTAGTGAGTGTAGGCAATGCGGTGGTGGCGATGTGAATTCTTAAGTGTCAGTCGAGTACACAATCTGGCCAGGCAATTATGCTCTGGTTAAATAACTTCAGGAAACCTATGTTGGTGTCCGCACACTGGCTGGTTGGATTCCGCTAGCCGGTCTGATGTATGGCCCGGTTTACTTCTAGGATTTTTTGAACCAGAAAAACTGCGTCCTCGGCGAATGCGGCTGTCTCTGAGGAGTTGAAAGTCTGAATCTGATGTGAGTCAGTATCGACCCTAAGGTCATTTAAGGGTATGAATATGAAGTCCCTAGGAAGTTGCAATTTTCGCTGTTTTAGAAAGTGGATCGAAAAAAAATTTTGACGCTCCTTGCACTCATAGGCAACCTCGGGGAGATAGTTGCATACGCTGTCGTCGTCGTCGTCCGAGGGAACGGAGGACTCTTGGCAGCAATCATCTCAGCCGGGTGGCTTGGCGGTGAATTTTAAAAGCGTTGGTGAAATTTTTCAAAACATCGGTAAATTTCCATGTAAATGTAAAATTATTGCGAATATTCGAAACATAGGAGAATTTTGAATGACCTGCATACTATGATAGTTCATCATTTTCAGAAAATCAGATAGAAAAAACATAACCTCAAAATTTGTTTGAAATCATATAGGGTGATTTACAACTTATCCAAAAAAATTTGGGAATAGATGCGGCTTGAGAAATTGAGTCATTATCGTAATTTTTTTTTGTAAAATCCTTAGTTTCCAAGAAAAAAATTATTGAAGTTATAGTACATTCAACCACTACATAGCTGGACATCTGTAGTCTCTAGCGTCATTCGCAATAAGCGTGGAGCCACGTGGCCTCAGCGACACCGAATACTGAAAAACGCTTTTGCAATCGTCGCTGCGAGTGTTTATCTGTTATTTGTGGTGTTTACAGTAGTTTTTTAGTAGTTAGTGTCAAAAATGGTTTGTGTGTATAGCAACTGGGAGTTGATGGATATCGTTTTAATTTATGGTGAAGCATTTGTGTTATGGTGAAGCAAGACAACATTTGGGTTAGTTCGTAGAAACTGAGTAAGACGGACCCAAATGTGTTTACACGTTGGTGGATAACATTTTGAACAATTGTTGTAACATCAGGTATGTCAAATGATTTTGTTATTTAAAAACACAAATTAATTTTATTAATTAATAAAGGCAAAAGCAGTTGAATTTGCCGATATAAAATAGGTGCTATAAAATTCTATTTAGGTATTTCTTTCTTTGCGAAAGTTTTTGTTTGTTTTTATCATACCGCCATGCCAATCGCATTGTACCAGGTCAGGTTTTACAGTGGACCAGTTTCCAGTGCCGCGCAGAAGTGTATTTTTAAATCATTTTCGAACTGCCCTTTCTGATTTTTTCTTTACAAAATTGTATTTGTAAGGGTCCCCTGTACATCCAGAATTTTTTTTTTTGGATAAGTTTTGAATCACCCTGTATACATTTTATTGATATGTTGTTTTTTTAATTGTTATAGTTATTATTACTCTGTGATAAAAAAACAATTTATAGAATTGATTTAGCCCTAGTTGTGACTAATAGAAGAAATGTATGTCATTTAAAACTAGAAATAAATTTGAGATATCTAGCTTCGTTTTTTTAGTTATTAGATTTTTATCTGGAAATATAAAAGAAATGGTGGCTTTAAATGCTGAATATATTATTATTACAAACTGTTAAATCTATCACCTTTATTTTTATTTGCCTCGGGGAACATTACAGTACATATGTACATTAGTTTTCTTCCTCAATTCCATTTTCACAAAGATAATTATCATTAAATAATGAAAATACCACAATTATACAGAAAATTCAAGGGTCAAATTTTATTTGCTTCCTTTAAATATAAACTTTTTCTCCCAGAAAGCAGGGTAGTTCGCTTGAGTTGGAAATACATCCAGTATATTTTACTTTCTTTGGAGAACATTTAGTTGTTATTTATTCAAAAATACTTTTTTAAAATCAAGTGACCAACGCAAAATACATATTTTGTCAAATTTCAGATAGATGCTGAGGGTCTGACGATCAAATCAGCATGCTGATTGTCAGCATCCAGATTTCTTTTCACTGTTAATGATTACAGTTAAAAAAAACACACATATGCCACTGCCGCTAATTCAGCATACAGCCAAAAACTTGTTGGTAGATATTTACGTTTTTTCCTTGTCTTTAGGTACCTATACTACCTATCCTTTTGTGGCTTGTTTAATATTCCGGTCCATACATCCATTTCGCCAAGACCAGATCCTAGGTGCTATAAATCATCATCATCCAAGTATTCTGCTTTCCAGAAAAAACCTTGTTTCTGGTGGTGGTGATGGGATCACCAATCAGATATCTATTAATGTGGGTCGGTTTTTGTAAACGCTGGGTCCTTTGGTGCCATCTAGTTTTGTCTTGAGAAAGACACCTAGGAATGGTAGGGTACCATTTTCTTCCATCTTCATGGTGAACATATCCAGATGTATTATACTGATGTGGTTAAGGAATACTTCGTTATATCCATAGTAAATGTATGGTTAACATATCTGAACTAACATTTTTTGAAGCCAGAGTTTTTTTCTTGAATGCTTCCATGTAGATATTGGTCAGTTAGGGACAAGAATGAATGACAGCTGCTCCCTTAATCTGTTCACAAAACTAATTTCTAAAGACTTGAATAAAGATCTTTCGAAGCGTCTTTTGTAAACAATGACGTCACATCAAAATTCACTAATATATAATCTGGACCTAGTTGGAGTCCCTTGGTCTTGCCAATAAAATTTCTAGTGTTTTTGACATATTGTTCTGTTTTTACCACTAGATCTTCTCTTTAATTTGGTGTGGCGCATATCAGGCGAGTGTCCATCTGAGACAGGCTTAACAGTCAAAGAAATTATTAACAATTTTTCCAGCTATGAAAGAGAAAATGAAAAATTTCTTTAACAGGCTTAGAAAGGAAACAAATATCTATGAATTACTTTTTTGTTATCCTACATTAGTAACTCAAATATTCTAAGGATATATACAGGGTGATTCAGAACTTATCCAAAAAAAAATTTGGATGTACAGGGGACTCTTATAAATACAATTTTGTAAAGAAAAAATCGAAAAGGGCAGTTCAAAATGATTTAAAAATACACTTCTGCACGGCACTGGAAATTAGTCTACTGTAAAACCTAACCTCGCACAATGTGACCGGCATGTCAGCAAAGTGTGATAAAAACGGACAAAAACTTTTGCAAAGAAAGAAATAAATAGACTTTGATAGCATCTATTTTATATCGACAAATTCTACTGCTTTTGCCGTTATTGTTATTATTAATTAATAAAATTAATTTGGGGTTTTAAATAATAAAACAGTTTGGCATACCTAATTTTACAACAACGTGTAAACACATTTGGGTCCGTCTTACTCAGTTTCTACGAACTAACACAAATATTGTCTTGCTTCACCATAACACAAATGCTTCACCATAATACAAAATGTTGTCTTGCTTCACCATAAATTAAAACGATATCCATTAACCCCGAGTTTCTATACACGCTAGCCATTTTTGACACTAACTACTAAAAAACTATTATAAACACTAACGCAACGACGATTGTAAAATCGGATTTCAGTATTTGGAGTCGCTGAGGCCACGCATATAGCGAATGACGCTAGAGACTACAGTTGTCCAACTATGTAATGGTTGAATGTACTACTGTACTACAACTTCAATATTTTTTTTCTAGGAAACTATAAGGATTTTACAATTTTTTTTTGAAGATACTGACTCCATTTCTCCTGCCGCATCTATTCCCAAATTTTTTTGGATAAGTTGTGAATCACCCTGTATAATTGCTTATAATTATTAAAGCAGATAACTAAAATAAAGCCATTTTTTGATTATTTCAGTAAGGGAATATTGAAGAGGTCGTACAAACACAAACATATTTAAAAAGAAACACTGCAAAGTTTTATTTTTACCATAATACATGAAAATTCAATGAAAAATATTTCTTCAGTATATTTAATCGACAAATAAAAATAATAAAATACTTTGTAAAGGAAATCGTCACGGAGAAAAATCCATAAATTGGAATCCATGTTATACTTATATTACATAACACAGAGTGCCATCTGTTATAACTTGTTCCCCAACTACTTAAACATATCTCTCCAATTTTTTTTTAATTAAAAAAGGTATTTTAAATTGAAAACTTTAACCAACCTGATTACTGGGAACAATCTGCTTCATTCCTTCATTTATGATTTTAATGGACTGTAGATCATTGTTAATTATATTTATTAACTGGGCTATCCCATTCTGCTGCATCTTCAAGAACTGCTTGATTTCTTCTTGGGCGTCTGCGTCTATCCTGTAGTTCTGATTATTCTGCTTCTGCGTACCTTCCATCATTTTGACATGAGACAACAGTTCATTAATTTGACCCTTAAACTGCTTTGGAACATTTAGCTGAGCATGCATCATTTCCAATCTACCCCTTAAGAGTTCCTCTTCCGGTTGTATTGCAATTCCTACCTTCCTTGTGCTTTCCTGCTTAACCAAAACCTGAGACAAAATAGTTGTAGTACACACGAATTTACGCACAGACTAATCTTACTCTTAAAATCCTATGCTGCAACTCTAAATATTTCTGCTTTAACTCTGATATCTGCGCTATCGAAGATGAATGTTTCGTCTTCAATTCGGTGATCTCTTTATTGACTTTTTCTAAGAATGCCTGGTGTAAACCTGTCTGATATTCTTGATGCAACATACGAGACCTTAGATCAGAGAATCCGTTTATGGGTACGGGGATGTACTTTTTGGGATTTGGATTGTCTTGAATGGCTGCCTGCCACATTTGTAAGTCTATGCCTGAAAATATTATTTTATATAGAAAAAGCAAATTAGGTAGTTACTGGTGATAAATATTTATATTATCTATGATATTTTTTTTTCTTGAAGTATGTATTTCTAAAGGTTAAAGCTAGCTCATTTAACTCTACACATCATTTTTATAATCTCTCCTCAGGCTCATTAAGACAAATGAATTGTTCGATATTTTTTAAATCTTTCAACAACCAGTTACCAATATCAATATTTATCAAAATCAAATAATAAAAATTTGCAAAAAATGATATTTTTTGCCTTTTGCTGTATAATATTAATTACTAACCTGGTGGTGGCTGCTTCAGATATTCCTCCAATTCTGCTTTGCTGGGAGTAACAAAAGGTGTTATTGAACTCACACCGACATTGGCAAGTTGTTGCTTCTGTGTGGGTTGATTTAGAAAGGCAGATAAATCTGATGCAGGTATTTTACGACTGCTACCTGTAACTCCTTTTTCAGCAACAGTGATCTTAACTTCAGTCTGTGTATCTGACACTGCCTTGATTTGATTAATTTCTACGGTTAAGTTTGGTTTGTTGCCCAATATACCTGCAATACCATTCTTCAAAACATCGTGTTGATTTCTGAAAGCAATTAATATTTTCAACATATGTGTCGATTTTGCAAAAAAAAGACTTACCGAAGTTCTGAAATTTTTTTGTCAAATGTTAGTTTAACTATACCGTCGGAATTATCCTGTTCTGGAATAACATTATAACCCATTGCTTTAAATCGATAAAATGGATTTTGGGGCGAATATTCAACAGCTGGTTGGGTAGAATTGTAGTAGCCCTTTCCTGTACCCCAACATGCTTGAAGCATATTCCATTTCTTAAGGATATCATCACGTTCATCATTAAACACATTTATTGCATAAACAGAAGCTACAACTTGCTGGTTTCTGGTTGCCGCATTAGGGGCTGTTGGCCCTGTTAACAGAATAAGGTTAACGTGGTTAAATCTAGTTTTTAATATAACTTACCTGTTGGTGCAGTTAGAGGTTTAACACCAAAGGCAGATCCAAAAAGACCAGTACCACCAGTGGTAGTACCAAAACCACCAAAACCAGTATTAGTTGTACCAAAACCACCAAAACCAGTGGTAGCAGTTGTAGCAGCAATTCCAAAACTAGTTCCAAACAGAGATGGTGCTGTTGTAGTTGTACTACCAAATAAACCACCCCCAAAGGTTGATGAACCAGTACCAGCGCCAAATAAACTAGGAGTCGTAGTTGTACCCGTTTGGCCAAACAATGATGGTGTTGATGTTGCTGTACCAAATAGACTTGGAGCAGCACTAGTGGTGGTACTTCCTATGAAAGGATATGTAAATTTGTTTTTCAGATTTTAAATATTTGAATATTACCAAATAAACCTGTTGCCTGAGCGGTGCTAGTAGATCCAAACAAATTAGTTCCACCAGCCGGTGTAGAAAATAAACTAGGAGCCGAAGTTGAAGGAGTTCCAAATAGACTTGGCTTTGTTGTACTACCAAACAGCCCAGTGGGCTGCTGTTGCGTAGAAGCACCAAAAGTGGTGCCAAATGCAGGTGCTGCTGACGACGCAGGGGTGCCAAAAGTTGAACCAAAAGTTGGTGCTGCAGATGAAGCAGGAGTGCCAAAAGTAGTACCGAATGCTGGTGCTGTAGCTCCTGATGCTGGAGTGCCAAAAGTCGATCCAAAGACTGGTGCCTGCTGTGTATTACTTGCCCCGAAGGTGGAGCCAAAACCAAAACCTGTTGAGGCTGTGGTTGCTGGAGTCTGTCCAAAAGCTGTCCCAAAACCAGTAGCTACAAATGAAATTAACAAAAATATATTTTGGAACAAATGTGAAATAGTTTTTTTTTTCTCGACTGTGACTTGTAATCTCTCTAAAACAGTATATAGTGTTTTTATATACAGCGAGTGACAAGAAGAAAATGCCATATTGAATTGTATTGGTGTGTAAGACTTTTCATCAATTTCTTGGAGTGCCACAAAAAGGGAGGAAGATGAAGCTTATTTTTGTAATAAGATGCTTCGTACATTTTTACATATTTGGATAGAGCGATTTATTACAAAAACATGAATAGAGAATTTGGCGGGTTTACCCTATAATAATAAGGGGCATATATCCAAAAAAAAGTATCATTATACACTGTAAAAAAATCGGTGCGAGTGAAAGTAATAAAGGTTTGGAGTGAATCCATTGTGTGAAATTATTGAGTACATTTTCACTCAATATTGGATGTATTGATCATTTTACTCATGTATGTATGTATGTATGTATGTATGTATGTATGTATGCATGTATGTATGTATGTATGTATGTATGTATGTATGTATGTATGTATGTATGTCGGAGGGTGGTGGAATTGCTTTTCCACCGCGGCACTTAGGCCTTATTAGGCCCCTTGTATACCCTCCTTCATTACTCGAGTACTTTTCTTCAAACCATCATATTTACTACACGGGTGGCTTGGTGGCAAAGTCTCGTATAGTTTATGTATGATAGCATGGTCTTGAATTACAAAGATTTTCTTTGCTTTGTTCTCATTACCATTTATCGGGTACCACACGCATGCGGAAAATGTTGAGAGACCCAGGTCTCTGGTAGGCTGCCACAGCCACGTCCCCGAGCCTGCCTTAGGTCACCCATCCAAATTCCTGCCTGCGTCCGCGATGCTTACCTCGGCAGATCGAAATCCACCGGCCAAGACACCCGGCTAGGCGGTCCCCTTTCATTTTACTCATTTAAGATTATATTTAAACTAAAACTGAGTACTTTCACTCAAATATAGGTACTCCTTAAATAAATTCTTCACGTAAACTCATATTTGGTGCACTTGTACCTAAATCAGAGTAAATGTCCTCATACTGAGTCAGTTTAAATGAATATTAATTTCGAGTAATTTGAATGGCGCCGTGAAGATGGCACCACTGACATATTGCTTCTGTAATCTCGAGCCCGTCAGATGTTCCAGAAAAGTGTGATCGATAGGAGAACAGGCCTTAGCCGGCGCGACGGCGGATCTCAGCTGGCGGGTCTCAGCCAGGACAGGAGGAGGCCCCGCGAAGTGAATTAATTTCAACACTGTATATCCTAATTAATCATTTATGAGTGGTTAAATTTAAATCAATAAGTCAACTCTAAATTGATTTTATAATACTCAGAATAGAGTGAAAAGTCGCTCAATTGATAGTTAGCAGTAACTCAGATTTGATTGTGAGTAAAACTCGCTCATTTCTGATGCAATAGTTTCACTCAGTTGTACTCATACTAATTTAGGTTAGGAAATCTCAGAATTCTAAAGTGATAGAATAATTTGGAGGTCAGATTTGGATTGGGCGACCCCAAAAACATGTAAATATCCGTTTTTTGAAGAACTTTTTTCAATTTTAGTACCACTAATACCACAACTTCATTCAATGATATCTCCGCGAATAAAAAAGATTTTTCATATCTGAAAAAAGCGTTTTGACGGTAAGAGTGGTAGTTTTAGAGAGCATGATTCGTTTTTAGAAAAAAAAAAATTTTCGCTCTGTGATATAAGCTCAAATATACCAAAAAAAACCCCTGTTTTTGCACTTATAGGTTAGGATATCTCGAAAACATGATGTAAAGGAGCAATTCTGATGCCGGATTTGGATTCTACGCACCAAAAACCTTCGGGTAAGTGAGGTCTGGTTTTTGGGTGTGAAAATTGTTGCCCTGTATTATACATATACCTATATTAAAATCACAAACTGTTCAAAAGGTAAAAACTTAGTCAAAGTAATTTTTAAACTAGTCTGAAAAACATTCAAGAAAAAAGTAAGATGTTTTTAACAAATTGTCATGTAGATAGAGTGCATCTTGCAATGGATTTTCCATACTATTGAAATGTTAATGACACAATTTAACCTTCACAGGGATAACGAAAATTAATCTGGATTGTCCAGATGTGTAAAAGAAATATATTCTCATTAAGAAATAATAACATTTCAATTTCCCAATCATATCTTTTGTATGATTAGGGAAGAAACTAAATATGATTTAAGAAATTAATATTTTAACAGAAATTAACATTTCTGTTTTAATTTTCTTATTTGTTAAAACATATATCGTATCCTAACAACTAGACCTAACATAAGTTGTTTATTGGTTAAATAGTAAAAATAATACAGCATAATTCTAGACAGAAGGTTAGAAGATCAATGAATAAGTTAATTGTATTTAAATATATATCACATTAATTATTAAAAGATGTACGTACCTACTTACTACAACTTAATAACGCATATATGTGTTTTTGAATAAATATCTCCAATTATTAAATGATGAATGTTAATTATGCAAATCCTTACAATATTAATGAAATGCACGTGTAAACTCAATTTTTGCAATATGCAAGAGCTGTCATTTGAACTTAGCTTATAACCTTATTGCCTTAATATTAGTTAAGTATTGGTATTTTAGAATGAAATACACAAGGCGTTTCTAAATTATGAAACAGGAAATAGGAAACTGCAAACAGTTTTCTATGAACAGGGGTCCGAAAATGTTTAGTAAATAAGCTTTGATTTTCAGAATTTATATCACAGAAATGTATAAAAATGTTTATTACCATTTTTTACACTGTTTTATTGAAAAAGCCTTGGAGAGCTTTTTCAAGATAAAACATTTTCATAATCGTTCACCAGCACCTGTATACGAAGGGAAAAATTGTTTCTCCATGAGATTTTTGGAATCAATAATTTAAAAATAGGACTGCTAAGTTATTCGGTTTGATAAGCCATTTTGAAATTATTTTAAAAAAATATGTTTTTGGCAGTGCATCTTTATCACCGTGTAATTTTTTACTAAGCGTTTTCGGATTCACGATCTTAGAAAACTTTTTGCTTAAAATGGCATTTTGTATCCCTTGTTTTAGTTTGGCACTATACTTTAAAAACACCCTGTATATTATTTACATTCGAACGGCCATAACTAAGTTTTGATAGACCGCGAAATCGGGTCAAGTTATAGAAACATACGCCTTATTATCTACCTCTAAAAAACAGAATTAACATAACATAACAAAGGAACATTCTAAAATGTAATACAACATAAAATAAAATAAATATTACCAAATGAGTAACATATTATGTTGTTTGAGTTAACGTAACAGAAGTAATTTTTTAAAATAATTAGATATACGAGTACCTACCTATAAGTTTTAATGTATTGGTACCAAGCTTGATTCGTAAAATTTTTTAATTTCGTCAAGTGAACTACATAACATACATGCTGTGTTTTCATTTAAAGTAAAATACATACACCTAAGAAGGTTTCTGGCCAGTGGCATTTCATATCTCCTAACATACAAAAGTTGTGGTGAGAGTCCATTTTTGCCTTGACCGTTTCACTTATAAAAATTGTTTTCTTATTGAAATGTATTGTTCCATTCCAATTATTATTAGATATTTTCAACTTAAATTTCGAATTTTTATTACAAAAACATATTTGGATCAGAAGAAGTTAATACGTTCGAAGTTAATTAAATTAGGAAGTTACCAAACTGCCGACAATTCAGTCGGCAAATATGCTTCGCTTATGAGTTTTACAAACACATAAAACGAAACTGGTGAGATTCGAAAACATATCTAGTAACTAAACTAAAAGAATTTTTCTTGAATTTCATAAAATTAATATGCAAACAAATAACTATAGCAAATAATAGTTACTTAAAAAAGAAATACAATTTTTATGTTTGGATAGCTGATTTTCTTTCACATGGCATGAAATGTTTTGATATTCCCGACAAAAAAGATTTTTAATTTACTTTTTAAATAAATAAATTGAGAACATTGAAAACTATTTAATAGCTAAAAAAATCAAATGTCATTTACAACGTATATGAGAAATACCATGTGCTAGACGACTTTGTTTTAATATAGGTATGTAAGTACCCTGAAATTTTATATATTATGTAGTTACTTCTAAAAACACCTTTTAAATGTTTAGATAATGATCGAATGTACAATGTTCCTAACTTACACATCCACGTCGCATTTATTTATTCCATACAAGTGCTATAAATAAATTATTTAAATAAACAGCAGTCATAGTTTCCACTATTACTTATATAAGGTATTTCCGATAATAGAATTATGTCAATGTCATGTGATAATTCTATTATCAGTTTTCAAATTTGCCAGTAAAATATTAATGTTGCTACCTACTTATCCAATTATGATAGAAATGCATTATAATCTTGGAAAAAAAAATAAGGGCTCCACCAGATATAGTACGGTTCAAAATAAGTCGATTTAACTAAACTTGACTTATTCCAAAAATTAATAATAACGAAGTAACATGGTGTTAAAGTTGAAAAAATAAATAACAGTTTCTTTAATATACAAGGTGTCCGCAAATTTCACCGACAACATTAGACTGCATATTCATGACGGTAAATAAATACGATCTACGAAAAAAAAGTTAAATAAAAAATTTTTGGTTTTTGAGTTAGAAAATTGTCAAAAATAAAACTAATTTAATTAATAACTTCATAACCCTTTTACCGATCGCGTTAAAATTTGGGACACTTATTTGGACTATTATGGCGTATTATTTCTTAAAGCTTTAGTCAAATCGATATACTGGATGATAGTTTTCTCCGGTTACCTCTCCCTTTTAGCGGTCAAAACTTTTACAATGGTCGTATTTTTTAAAACGGGCAGCAACAATGAAAATGTCGTTTCATTTAAAGAAAAAATATTGTCTCCTGAGAAAATCGCCTACAGAAAGCCATTCTTGAGAAAAATGGAATTACTTGCAGGTCTGTATGTT